AATTCCACCAGTTCGCTACCTACAATGTCCAGCTGGTGTGAAGATACGTCACTTGAAACGCTTCCTCTGCTCTAAATTCGGCATTGACCCGGAGAGTAAGCGTATCGAGGTGGAAGTGATTTATGAGGATGAGGTGTTGCCAAATGATTTTACGCTAATGGATGTGGGCTATTGTTACAATTGGAAGAGGGTGAGTTATAGCGAATATTTTCATTAAACATACTATGTACGCGTTATTTAAGTTCTAAGCTTAAAAACGTGCATATATACTAGAGAGCTGCATGAATTCATTCGAAACGGCTTATGAATTATTCATATGCAAAACGAATAAATGATTTTGGCTTAAAATTTTTTTCGAATTTGAGTGTATACAAAATTCTAAACTCAGCGTTTTGTATGTGAAGTACAATATTAAAATCTGTACTCTGTTTGGCTAGAAGTTTGAATGAATTCATGAAGCCCTCTAATATATACATATACATTTGTATACTTACATGTTTTTTAAGTGCATATGTATGTATATGCAAAATTTTTAATGGAGTTTATGTGTAAGAAACTGGGCAGAGTCAAAATCTATTAAATCATTCTGAAATAGTGAATGTTAAAAAAAATATTTTGTTTCGAACTCTGGCACTAAGTATTTAGTATAGCACCAAGCCAAAGAACTTTGAATATAAAGAAAGTGAAATCGCAAGTTCGGGGCTAGGTCCAAAGTTACCTGCACCCGCTCTGTCCGCCATCCTTGAACCGTCTGTGTACCAACGTATGTATTTGAGATCAAGTTCAGGGAGCACTTTTGCCCAAACTTCGCGATCGGTGATTATCACTCGGAATTTTCTGTCAAAGCAGACTTCTTTATTCATGGAATCTGAGATTCCGCATATTTTCAACCCTGGTATCTTCCCAAGAATACCTGCATGAAGCTTCGTTACGAAGAAGCCGTCGTTACATAGTCGAAGTTGCAGCTCCTTCGTCGCTGCTGTTTCTTGGATAAAAATATGAGGCGCTATGGATGCATAAGACGCAATTGGATGGACTAGCATACGGTAGATCAACTCTATCAGCCTTGAGCTCACACCCCATTTCCTACCAAAAGGTCTTCGGCAGGCCCACATGACCCGTGTAGCTTTAGAAACCATTCTGCCATGATAGGAGTTCCAATTAAGTCTCTTATCTAGCGTCATCCACAGATATTTGACCTCATCGGAGCATTTAAGTGCTGTCTCTCAGGAGAAGGCAATTTAAAGGCACCATTTTTTATGGAAACGAAAACGCCAAAAGACAAAACTTGTACCCATTTGTTGGAAATTAGTTCCTCTTCAAAAAATGTCTCTAGCCACTTGATTTTTGGCATCTTTCCAATTTTTTTAAGTTCTTATTCCTATATCTTCTGACGTACAGGAGATACAAAAACGATTAACACTTCAGTTTGTGGAGATTTCCTTAAGTTTTAAAACGAATATAATAATCACTACAGAAAGAATATTAAGTATGTTGATTTATAGAAAAAACGGGGCTTTGAATTTGTTGCAAATTTTACAGTTTTTTTGCATGAATATTAACCGTTTGCGATAATTAGACGATAAATTTTCGTTCAAACTTTTACTGTAGGATGGTATGGAGTTATTTGGACAAGTTATTCAACGAAAAATTTAGCATAATCGAAATATTTTCAAAATCCTAAAGTGAAATATTTTAATTTTTAGATCAAACCACTAGATTATGGTGACAGAATATTGAAGAAAAATATGATGGGCAGGGACAACTGTTTAGGCGCGACTAATAACGCCAAGCAATCTATATACTGTACTTCTCAACTACCATGTAATAAAATTTTCTTAAGTTATAATTTGATGGCACTTCAAAGTATGCTCGGCCTAGTCTGACAATGGTTCCGGAGCATTTTGCCGTAATAGATGACTACCATTGGCTACAGTGCAGTGCAAAGTCTGCATAACTGAGCTTTATAGCACGCTTATGCGTGCACAGAGAGTAAATTGTCAGCGCATTTTTCCTCACAACCTCGAGAACGGATACCTACTATTGTATACATAAGAAGGTCGCTCAGTAAGAACGTGAATTTTATATTAAAAGATTGTTTTCTGCTCAAATGCGATTCCGTTGTAAATATTTATTTATGCGTACATATGTATGTAGTTTTCTTAAACCTCTATATACGCCATTCATGTATCTCCACTTTGTAAAAAAAAAAATTGGCGTTTACCTTTTTTAATCGAGCTTCTCACCTCCAACAACTCTGCCAAAGCAGCACCCTTCAGATAATACGATTTCTCGAGGTGTACGAGGGCGCTTACTCGTACTGAACTATGATACTGAAGATGGCAAACCGGTTTGTCTCCAAACCAAACTTGACAAGGGATGACCGAAATTCGTTCCCAAATGTGTACGTCACCATAAGATATGTCAATGCCCTCAGAAGCCGGATGGATTCTCATTTTCAAAATCATAAGTTCGAAAGTAGTGCGGTGAGGAGTCTCAGCAGCTTTCTTGCCTTAACTCTTAACACAAGAAAACACGCGTGACTTAAATCTTATTAATTTGAAGGCAGTACCTTCTCTGCTTTCTTTCCTTACTGAAGCCCTGTACATATTACATTGTAATTATTTTTCATATGATTTAATCGTTCGTTGATGAGTGACCCACAATAAAAAGTGAGTTTTAAGGGAGAGGTGAAAGGAAACTCCAGGTCCTGTATCAATATCTCTCGTTTTGACGCTAATTCAGATTTGTGTAGAATATCTAGTATTTCTACAAATTTTCGAATGATATTGTATTGAAAGTGAAGTTGATACTTTTAGATCCGGAGATGGAGATATATAGAAGGCAAGGATTTTACGCTGTACACGTCTATAAAATAGATAATAGAAATCTTAGAAGAGCTCAAAAGTATTGAAAGCTTTTAAAAGCTTTTTCCACTGAAAAATGTTAGCTTTCAAGCGAAATATGTTAGCCCTCAGGCAGATCCCTTTTAAGTTGTATGACGCGACGTATTCGGGATGAAAAGCGTTTAAAAGCTTTGTACACCGTAAAAGCCCTTGCTGATCGCCACTGATCTAATGCTAATCTAAGCTCGAGCGTACCGTTTGTATTCAGACAAAGAGTGCGCGCCCATTAAAAATCGACAGAAAGGTTTAAAAGTCATGAAGAGCTTTTAAGCTTGAAATAAGGCTATCTTTGCCCATTACTCTTTTATATAAATCTATCCAGCTGTCGTTGTTTAAAATATATATCTCAATCATTTGTACAGATTTCTAAATCTCTGAAAATCATATAGCATTTCGAGTTTTTACGGGTCTTTAAGCTCCAACGACAGACAGGGATACATAAAAATAGGGTAGAAGTGAGCTAGCAGCTTCTGGCGCCACATAAATTCAGTTCATCCTGTATATTTATTATTCACACATCTCCGATTTTTGTTGTTATTACTCTTATACTCATTGATTTACAGCACGCGCCCATGAAATTCACCTATCGCATACTATTCTATGGTGATGAGTCGCAAAAAATAGAAAATGACTTCAATAAATCCGACGTCGAAGTTAAAAGAACTGATTGCTCTAACAGCATAAAAGCCACAGAAACACAACAAAGCAAAGAGCTTACCATTTGCGATGAGACGAACATTACAACTTTGCCCTGTGCGACTTCTCCGCTTTCGCACAACTGTAGCGCCCAGACAACATTGGAAAACACAGATAAAGGCCAGAGCAAGTCACCAAAGTGCGTCAAGGTGAGCACGTCAATCAAATCAGCTGTTGAAGAGATAAATGCACCAGTGAAAATGATAATTGCGCGTAAATCGAGTGCAGATAGCGGCAAAAAGGCATCGCCAAAGCGCAACCATAATGAGGAAGTTACCTACACAGTAACAAATGATTTCAAGAGTCTGCGGAGCAATGATATGCGTTACAGCGACTATGCTGTCTCCTCCACGACCAGCAACAGCAATTCACCAAAGAGTTCGCCGAAGAGTGCACAGCGCTCACCTAAATCAGCCGATATTGCGATCGCTGTTGAGCCAACACCATCTCAGGGTGCATCGGTGGTGCCCAAGTGTGATATTGTGGTGAGCATACCGCAGTCGCAAGTGCCGAAGTCACCATACTCAATCGACGATGAGTTCGAGAATGTATCGCTGGCACAATTGAAGACTGCGAGCAAGAAATCGCCACCATCTGTAACGATGATCGCTGCATCGGAGACATCCAAAAGCGGAACGACTAGAAATGTGCCAAAATTGAAGATTGAATTGAACAGCTTGAAGACACGCTTGAGCATTTCGAAGCCTAAATCGGCAGGTGTTTTGCACAGTGGTGGGTCTTCGGAGAAATCAGGGCGCTTCAAGCACCGCAAACATTCATTGGACGATGTGACTGGGCCTTTGAATGATCAGCTTGATATTGAGACATATGCTAAGAATATCGGCTTACAACCCATTGAGGTGCTGACGCCACCGGAATCGGCGGAATCATGTGACAAGCTCAAATATAGCCCGAATGCCTCACCACTCTCTTCAGCTTCTTCAACCACCAGCTCATCGAATAATGCATTTCCAATGTCGGCACCCACCGAGTTAGCATCTACTTCGTTCCACAAGAAGAGGAAAAAGAAGCACTCAAAAGATTCTAAAGACCCAAAAGACAGCAAGCGCCGCAGAATGCATGCCGAGATATCCAGTAAGCCAGAGGAGGAGAGTCTTAAGATGAAGGTTAAGCTAACGGCGCCGCATAATCATAAATCACACAAATCAGAAAGCTACGGCACGCGGAGGAGCAACGAGGAAGGGCGCAAGTCACACCACGAGAGCAGGGTATCCAAGGATGCCAATGCAGTGGCGACGAGTGGTACAACACCTACCGCGTCACAAACGGATAGCCTCTTGGCGTTAAATAAGACACTTGGCGAAGAGTCGCGTAGCATTAATCATCTCATGAAGGAGAAGGAGAAGAGCAAAGAGATCGTCAAAATTGTTAAAGCCGATGAAACGTTGCTGTCGTTACCACAATCTCAGTTGCTGACAAAACCTTTAAACAATATCAAAGAAGTGAAGTTACCAGCGTCGCCACCGTTGCCGCCCAGCCTCTTCAAGACAACCCCACTCAATTTTAATACACTGACCGTCACCAGTACGACTGCTGGTCAGTCTAAGTCGACGACGAGCGCTAGCAAGCAATCCGAAGTAGTAAAGGGCAAGCAGTCGCTATCAACAGCAACAAAACCAACCGCGGTGCCGCAGTACAACAGACAAGGTTCCGCACCTGTACCGAAGTCTCATCCCCACTTCATAGTTCCTAGCTTACCACGTCGTTCTTCGCCCGCAGCAAATAGCTCATATACACCTTCATCCATAGCCAGCGCCAGCAGCAAACAACTTGGTATGCAGCTGAAGCGATCCGCCTCCTTGGATGAGTCATACGCGCTTGGCGGGCGCGGCAAGCAACCAAAGTTGGACGCCTCGCAACGCAAGTCTCTTTACAGCAGCTATGCGAATAAACCCTACACTCCCTCAACCACTATTAGTATTACCAAGATGGCCGACACTGTAACGCAGGCGCAAGGCGCCAGCGCTGGCAGTAGCGCAGTCACAATTACAGCGCGCCAGCCTGGTGGCATAGCGCAAAGGCAACAGCACTGGCAATTGCCACCTTACACCCCCTTGCATTTGCCCTACAACAAACCCGCCGTGGAAATTGTGCGCATCAACTCTGGGCAAGCGGCTGCTGATATGCAATCGCAGCCAACTGTGAAATCCACAAAAGGCGGCGGTAGTCGGATGATGGGACCGCCACTGTCTATGGTCAAGGGTAAGAAAGCCGTGGGGCAGCAACTGGGCGCTTTGCCCACCACTGGCGCCACAAAGTCGGCGCAAGCGGCCTTGAGTACCACGCCCCTCGGGCAAGGAAGGAACAATCCTTACCGGCTGTCACCGCCGGCGCTTGTAAATCTGCATGGTCCAACTTTTCCGGCGACTAAGAAAGGCGCAGATAAAGCTTGCAACAAACAGGAGGGCAATGGCATAAACAACGGTGCTACCGAGAAAAAGTTGCACCAACCGCAGCGCATCAGCTTGCGCGAATTCAGACCCAACTCTAGGGATCAATGTATTGAAATAGCTGACACCGCCGGCAGTGCTGGTGGCAAAGAAGAAATTCGACTGGGTGATACTACAGTCAATGCCACGCTAATAGCTCCATCGGCCCGAGAAAGCCTGGAGGCGGCTTTGAATAAGCTGAAACAGAACATCACCTCCACAACGGTGCAAGACAGCGTCGCCGCTGCGGCTTCAAAGCAACAACAACAGCTGAATTTGCCAACAGATATGAGCAATGATGATCTGCAGAATCTACATTTGCTTTCCGAGTCGGCAACAGCGCGCGAGAAGATCGCAATACGCGCCTCACAATCCTATGAGAAGCCAAAGTCACAACAATCATCATTGTCGCGGCAGCAAAACGCTTCCGTGCGCAACATACCCAATCCCTCGGCGCTGGCGTTCCGCAATATGTCGACGCTCCCCACGGCGAGCTCAACTGCTGTTGCTGTTGACTCATTAACTGCAAACTCCATCACCAATGCAAGCACCAGCACCGCCAGCTCCCCATCCACATCCACAGCCACGCTTAATCTCACTTCACCGCCTGCACAAAAGAAATTACCACTTACGGCGCTACCTTTAACCGGCGTTGCAGCTCCTCTCAGTCCAGCTGTTATGCTACACTCAACCGCCGCCACCGCCACCGCCACCGCCACCCCCACCAGCACAACTGCGGCGGCAACGACACGCACCATAAAAAAGCCAACGACCATCGATCAAGTGGCCGCCAATTTAAATATGCGCGCATCCGCAGCCGCCGCTGAAGCATACGCGGCCAAGCTAAATGCAGCAGAGGATGTAACTCAAATAAGTTCGTCCACTGGCATCACCACCACCATCACCACCACCAGCAACAACAAGAGTCCAAGTGGCATTACAAAGTCGACGTCTGCTACGAATATCGCCTCCTCAACCACAGCCAATGTGCCGTCGGCAGCCGAAGCAGCAGCTGAGCTGACAAACAAAGAGATGAAGTCGTGGAGCAGAGGAGGAGGAGGAGGGGTTGAGTGTGCCAAAGCGAAAGTGTTGCCAAAATCCATTGCAGATAGTGGTGTGGTGGCAACTGCCATTGTCACTGATGTCGCTAGCATAAAGAATGCTGGAAACAACAAAAACAATAACAACAACAACAACAGCAATAGCAAGAACAATAACAATAATGGCAACGACAAATACGGTGTGACGGCAACTAGCGTGGCGAGTGATTAAGGTGAGTGCACCGAAGTATGTAGTACATAAGTATGTAGATACATTAGGGTGGTACAAAAAAAAGAAAGAAAAAGTAAAGTCAGAATTTTAATGCTCTCACCCCCTAGGATTGTTCTATGTCGGAAAAAATATACGCCTATTTTTTATTTTCGAAATCCAAAAATATTTAGAAGTCGCACAAGGCGCTCTAAGTTTTCATGTATTTTATATGAAACCAAATACCTTTTCGGAGAAATGGTATGGAATTCTTGAAAATCAATAGTTTGCGACCGGAAAACTCTGGCTCTCTTCAAGAGACTTCCAATAATAATACCAATTTTTTTTTTAACCATTTTTTAATACTAACGATTTTTTATTGCATAAGGAATTGGTTATTATTATAGGGAATCTCCAGCAGAGAAGCAGTTTGAAAAATATTGATTTCTACGAAAAGGCGGTTTTTCCTCATATAAAATACATGGAAAACTTTGAGCGCTATGAGCGACCTCTAAATATTTTCTGATTTCAAAAAAAAAAATAAAAAATAGGGGTATATTTTTCAGACATAATTAATCCCAGGGAGTGAGAGCATTAAAATTGCGACTTTACTTTTTGCCGCATGCGTTTTAGGACCACCCTAATATATATATATATATATATATATATATATGTATGTGTATTGAATGGTTTATTGCCTTTTTGTTTATTTGCTACGTTTTAGCTTAAGTATTTGTATTTGTATTTGTTGGGAATTGAGCACAATCAATTCTGTGGCGACATGTGGTTAAGGAAGGGGAAATATGAGAGTGCGACGGATTACTTTTACGGTTATTTTTTTATTTGTAAAGTGTTTGCAATAATTGGATATTCACTGTTGTGGAGTTCGGGTAGAAAATGGTTTTAAGCTTAACTTTCACATACTCTAAATAAAAGTTATTTTGCTGGTTTTGAAACAAAAAAGACGTAAATAACGAAAGAAGTTTTCGCATCAATTTCGACGATACCAATCGAATTTCCTTCATAGTTTTGAATTTTTGTTTTTGGTATAGAAAAATGTTATTTAATTTTAGAGCTCCAGTACCCAAAATCTTTTAATAACTTCAGAATTCCCTTTCCAGGCACTATTAGGATTCATTAAGAGAGCCGAAGGTATCATCTGTATACTGGGTTAGGGACTCTCTTCAGTGATACAATATATCGTTCAGATCGCAATGTCTTTTGTTCTGCCACTACAAAGCAATAAAGTTAACAATTAAAAATATTAAATGATTTGTGGGTTTTCGAATTGGTTTAAGATTTTCGAATTTTTGGGAATGTGTGAAGAATATTTTCAGATTTGTTCGAGATTTTACGGGATCATTCAGGATTTACTTTCAAAAGGCTCGCGATTTTTCGCGCATTTTTTTGAGACTTCTTGTTTTTTTTTTTTTTTTGTTTTCTGTTATTTTTTTTCCTAATAACCGTTTATATTCAACAATTTTGTTGAGCTTGAGCGCTGGTGTAGACCACTGTCACCGTAAGCCGGACTTGCTAGTTCAAGTACCAGTGAGATGTGGTGATCTCTGAAATAACAACAAACATTTTCATTAAAAATTACCTCAAGCTGAATAAAATTGCAGACTATAGAGTTTTCATATTTTGCAAAAAAATTCGAGATATTTGACATGCTCTAGATTCAAAACTTATATTATTCGTGGTTTGTAAAATGTTTTCTTTCAGGTTTTGTAGGAAAAATTTCCGGTTTTTTCAGGATTTATTTCGGGAATTTTCGTGACGTTTCGCGATTTTCCGCTGTTTTTGTTATTTTTAGCATCTTTAGAAACCTTCACGATTTTATGATATTTTCCAGTTTCACAAATTACATTTTTCGCGAATTTCGAAATTTTTCGGGGCTTATTTTAAATTTTCCTAGATCGTTCAGCAATTATTGCCGGCTTTTTCGTAACTTTTGTAGTTTTTTAGAAATTTAGAAGATTTTTTTTGGAATTGTTAGATTTAAAAATTAAGGTAGATATTGATTTTTCGAAGTTATTTGGCTTTTATGTAAATAGTTAGAACAAATGTATGCAGTTCCGCAAAATTTCTAAGCACTTTAGACCGATTCGTGTTTTGTGGAAAGATGAAATGAAAATATTTTTCATCACTTCACATTAAATTACGATTCTGTTTTTAAATGAAAATAAAAATAATAAAAAGTTTTCCCTTCAAAAGTTTTTCCACCAAGTTTTGTGGCTGTGAAAATGAAACGTTCGGCATCGTCATCTTATTAAAAAGAATATTGATTATCTTAAACCCACAGTAATTAACTACATAATTGACTACTTGCTAAAAGTGCACCATCAAATAAAATTTTTATTTTTTTTTCAAATATTTAATAACAGAAATACCACCAGCCGCAATTATATGAATAATTTAATATACAAAAATTTTGCTTTGAAACTCAGTTCCCATAATTTTTTGTTTCTAAATATACAGTGACTCTAACAAATGACGACGTGTTGATTTTTTGAAATATTCGCAATGTTTTTCAGATATTATTTTTTTTTTTTTGTTATTTTTCATGTAGATCCAACTTTATACAAAATTGAGGAAAGTTCAGAATTTTCATCAAAATTAAAAATGTTTAATTTGAGTCCTTTGAAAATTTTTGGGTATGCAGTTTTATAACCCACACAGTTTTATTCAACTGAAGTGCGAGCTTCAAGTGGCTAAAAAATCGCGTTGGTTTAAATTTTTTTTTATTTTTTTTTTTATAACAAGTGCAATTTACTAAAAACTGCCGTTGATTTTTTGAATTTTTTAATGAACGTATTTCGCATTTTATTTCATAAGAAATTCATGTTCATATGGATAAAGTACAAAAAAGTGGACAGTGTTTTTATAGAAAAATAAAAAAATTTAGAATGATAAACAATACGCGTTCACTTGTTTGAGTTACTTTATATAGATATGCAGATTATATTAAAAAATACACATTTTTCTACACTTCGTCTCATAAAAAATTAAAACAAAAAACATCTATTTTGCTTAATTTTCTTTCACTCAAAAAGATATAGCCAGTCGGTGTGAAATTTTCTTCGAAATAGTGGACTCAGAAGTCAAATATTTCTGGAGATGGATGGACAGCGATGAGGATTCAATTGACGATTAATTCGTAAAAAATGGCAATCCATAGAAATGGAAAATATGTTTCAATACACTACAGGCGCAATATATATACAATAAAATAAATACAAACATACATGTGAGTAGCAAAACCAACTTATTAAAATATTACATTATTGGAGAAAACCAAAATTTTAAAAAAGTTGATATTTAATGTAGTAGTAACACACGTTTGTTTTTAAGTTAATAAGTGCTGTAAATATAATTGAAAAAAAAAAATTAAACTAAACTAAAAATACTAAAATAGGTTATAAAAATTAATAGATTTAAAAAATTTTAGGTAAGGTATTATGTAATAAGTCACACTAAAAAAGCTTTTGAAAGTTAAAAAAAGTGAGTGCAAGTAGATATACTTATTTGAGAAAAAAATAATAAAAAACCTTAAATAAATTCACTTGAATTATGTTGATTGTACCTAAATTGATATTAAAAGCAAACAAAATACACACACACACACATACACACACATGCACAAAATACATGCAGACATACATAGTAAACTTATATTAATGTTAGGCAAATAATGTTTTGGAAACGTGTAATATTTTACCAAGTAAACAATTCTAAGTTTAAGGCTAATATGGAGTCTATAATGAAATATTTAAGTAAATATTAATAAAATGATGAATAATAAAATAACATATATTAAAGTAAGATAATATAATAATAAAAAATATTTTAAGCGTTTCGAGTAAAATATCACTTCTGCATCGACTGCAACTGTCAATATTTGAGTTCAAAATCTGAATTGACGCGACGATTATGAAACAAAAGTTTTTGGAATTATGAAAATAGCACAAAAGAAAAGTAGATATATCCATAATATGTATCTACATTTGCATGTTTGTACATTTCGTAGAAGCAGGCAAAAATGTTATGAATGCATCTCGTTTCTTAGAAAACCAGCGCAAAATATTCTTGTGAATAAAAACATTAAAATTTCTAAGAACAAAGATATTTTTATTGTAACTGTGTACATCTGTAAATACATGCGTAAGTGAATTATTTGATGAAACCGTTAAAGCAGATAAATGTGTCTATAAATATACATACATGTACATATGTATGTTATGCCGTAAATACATAATATTATGTATTAATATACTCACATCATTGCACAAATAAAATTGTTTTATTTAGCTTTTCGATTGAGCAACAGAAATACATAGCTAAATATAACATATTTAGCGTTTACAATAAAAATAAATACATACATACTTACAAAAAGAAAAACATAAATATTCGTGCTTTTTAAACATCTCTTTGAAAAAAAAAAATCTGTGTGCCTAACCTCTAACGAGATAAGACCGCGGTTAGGCTGGGTTAGAATGGCGACGAATAGCTTAACTACGACTCAGCAAGTAGCAACCAAGTGATGTAGAGGCTTATAGTAAGTATCAGATATCGTATCCTCTTAGTGTGGTATTCCTGCTCCTCATTGCAGCTGGATATCTAAAAAGGAGGTATTTTACTGTAAACAGTTCGTAATTGTCCCTGCAGCTTCTACCGAACTCCTTGATGGTGATGTGCAGGGATTTCGAAACAAAATGTGTGTCCTTTTCAGGTTGTATACGGGCTACATGAATTTGACTACATACATATATAGCAGGCAAGTGCCAAAGACCAACTATGAGAGAAAAATTTCCCCGTATAAACATATTTAGTTCCCATTTAAATTTAGTAAAGTATGCTTGCTATAGCTGTAATGGACACTTGGTTGTCCGCAAAACTACTACTCTTTATAAGGCGAAAGCCTTCAGCGATTGCAAATACTTCTCCTAGGTAAACACATGCAAAGTCAAGCAGAGTGGATTGATTTTCTTACTCCCAGAGAATCAGAGAAAAAATCGAACTACAATGGATAGCCCTGACTACTTCTACACTATAAACCTAGCTCTTTGAGTCAAACAGGGTGGACTGATTTTCTTACTCCCAGAGATTCGGAGAAAGCATCTGCTACCTAGTTTTACATGATAGGCCAGGGGACCGTAACATGATATCGGACGAATCACTATCATAGATTAAGATTCAGTTTGACTCCCAGATACTTCGCTCGCTTAAATAATCGTTGCATTCATTTGGATATTCAAATTTGCTAATTCAAAGCTAGGGGTTTTTTCACGACCGGGTTGACTCAAATGCTGAGTACACACGAGGTAACCGTTGTGGCAACCAACATAACATATGTTTCAAAATGTTTGGATATTCATGCCATGAGAAACCTGCCCACACACGAATCAGCAAGCGAAGCAACATGATAAGTGCTCAGTTTATCGGCTTGGCTTTCCTAGAGCGCCTTCAATGTTGCTGCTCAACACACGAGGAAATATGTAGCTCGGCTACCCAAATTATCATAGATATATGTATGTTGGTTGTAGGACCCTATTAATCTGGCATTTCAGGGTACTATTTTATATATATATAAGGAAAATTTGAAAGTTAGGGGGGGCTCGAGCACCCCCCTGCCCCTAACTGGCTACGCCCATGGTTCTTTTCATACATACTAAGTAGCCGCATGTATCTTTGAAATTGATTCTGATTTCATCCCAGACTGGTCGCTTTTTTTTTTTGTACGAATCACGTATGTACATAGTTACATATTTATATAGGCCCTCGAGCACATGTACAGATTCATAGCATCATGCATAGATATGCAATTTTTCTTTCGTACTAAAAATAGCGGCCTACTTTCCTACCAATGTTTAATTTAAAAATATGTATTAAATTTTTTTTAACTTGCGAGTCTATGTTTGTATATTTATTTGTAACTCGCTGCCAATGCTTTATTGACATTGAAGTATTGATTGCATAATTACGTGTGTACATAAATGTGGATCAAACAGTGTCTGCCTGTTTGTTTGATTGACCAATTGACGGGCACATCATGGCCATTTCAATCAAGTAGCGGTTGGAATGCATTTTTTGTGAAATAGTTTCGAAGTTTTGTTATTTTTTTATATGTGTGTGCATAATTATACAATAAAATGTATGCACGTACATGTGTATGTATGCACATTAGGGTGGTCCAAAAATACATGTGGAAAAAGTTAAGTCTGAATTTTTATGCTCTCACACCCTAATATTACATTTACATTGGACCAAAATGCGTGATTTGAAATCAGTCATTTGAAGGTGTTTACACTGCTTGATCCGCATTTGCTTTGACTTCTCATCAAATGAAAAGGGAAGACAAAAACAAAATGTATGTAAACAAACACTACATTTATTATATTGTTAACGCTTTTTGGACACAAAAAGGCAATTATTCTTTGATTAAACTAAAAATGTGTAAAGCTCTTGTATAAATTAACAATTTTTACACACAAATTTCAAAGATTTATTTATTTCGTTGTGTTTGTTTTGTGTTTGAAAAATTCCAAATGTCAAAGACAAACCAAAGCTTTTGTGGAACTTTTGTTTCTGAGTGCGTTCAATAAAATAGTACGGCAATTGGAACGCATTTGTTTCGTGATTTTGTGTAAATGCGTCGAAATGCGTCATTCTGGAAATGTGAATTTGTATGGAGAAATGCGTGATTTGGCCTCGCATTTGAGGTTTCTCGCCCAAATGACGCATTTGGGCTCAATGTAAATGTAATATAAGATTGTTCTATACCGAAAAACATATACCCCTATTTTTTATTTGTTTTTGTTATTTTATGGCCTTATAACAACTATATTCAACAATTTTTATCGAGCTTGAGGCCGTTTTTAATGAAAAACTTATTGTGAAAAGGCAACAATCATTTAAAAAAATGGTAGAAGTGATAACTATTTCGGAAATCACCACATTTCCTCATCAGACTTCTTTCAGTAGGATTCGAACCGACGATCCCTGATGGCTTAGTCAGCGATCGAAAAATATTAATTTTCAAGAATTCCATACCATTTACACGAAAAGTTGTTTTTTTCCCATATAAAAATACAAAAACTTTGAGCGCTTTAAGCGATCTCTAAATATTTTTTGATTTCATAATAAAAAAAAGTAGGGGTATACTTTTTTCGATATGGAACAATCCCAGGGGGTGAGAGCATTATAATTCCCACTTTACTGTGCTTTGTACTTTGTACCACCCTAATGTACATACAACCGCCAGAGCATATTGTATTATTAAAAAATAACGAATGGATGAGCCAGCTCGTTGGACCTACAATGCGATTCGTAGATTTTGTTCCTGATTTGAAATATTTATATATAAATAAAATATAACTATTTAAATATGTATGTTAGTTAAGTATTTAATATTTTAGTATTTCAATTAATCTAATATATGTAAAGTAAATGTATAAAAATGTTCTTTCCTTTTTACCTTTAAATTTGCTCTATTAACTTTTTCCTGGTCTAATATATACAACCCTATCGTTGACTCGCAGATAATTTGATTTGTTCCATCCACATACATACATACATACGTATTTCTAGAGTGGATAGCTGGAGAACTTTTTATGAGTACTAAAATTATTCCCACAATCATATTGTTTGACACGCAAAGTATTTAATTGGTGTGTGAAATGTCGCACCTGCCTTTGTTTAAATAAAAGACAACAGCCAACAAATTCGGGCTTCATGCTCAATTCAGGATCACTAATATGGAAAAGAGTGGTGCAAATAATTACACACGGGCGAGGTGAAAAGAGAGCGAATGCCAATTAAATATCTTTTAGACAGAAATCTTTCCGCTTATTCTCCCATTAAACTGCAATCATAGCACAATAAAGTTCTCAATTAGCCAGCAGTAACGAGTTTGGTTAAGTGAAGAAGCCAAATGGAGTTAGACTATCGCAGATGCCTTTTCATGTCGTTTGAAATTCACTTTCATGCAATATTATACACTGAGAGAAAAATCAACCAAAAACTGGTTAATATTACCAAATTCAAACTTGAAAAGGAATCATCTTGATTTTTGGTTAATATAAATAATGCTTTGGTTGATATTTTCAACTTCTTCGAACTTCTTGGATCCCTAGGGAGATGTGAGGGAAGAAGTTGAAGTCTCCTAGAATACTGAGGTATATAAATAGACAGCTAAGCACCCGGTGCCCCTTCAATAGGTTGGCGGTTTAGATCCCAAGCTCCCCAACTAATCAGAATCGGAAGGACAATGTTAAAAGTCTCTTCTTTGGCATTAGAAGGCATCTAGAGAGAAATCTTTATATACGAAGGGGTCATCTATCGGGGTTTAAGCAGAACGGAATAGAAATTCATTGTTTTGAAATCTTTGTTGGAGCTTGTGGAGCCTACAATAGAAACACACCAAAACCTTGGGGACATATGTATACAAAGGTCTTGAAGGAGTTTATCGGTTAAATAAGAAAAGCAACGCTTATCAAGGCGGTCCCCGAATCGATGGAAGAGAAGCTTAATCGACCACTTACTGTCCAATTTCCCACCTCGTTCTTCAAAGACCTCAAGGCAGTATAACTCCTCGGGAAGGGAAATGTA